GTCGAGTGTCTTGCTGTTTTTGTGTTTGGGAAATCGGGATCATTCGATTGGGGTGTGGGTTTGTAACGGGCGTGGTACAACCACGTGTTATCACGTGGTATATCTATAACCAGTGCCGGCATTTAATTGGTCAGATCAAGCATCATCAATTTTTTAAAGGCTCTCCTAGCTCACAGTAGAGGAACAATGGCAAATGAAGATACACAGTGGCATACCTTGCTGCTAGTTCGCTCCAGTATTGCTGCAGGAGCTCTTCTTAGCTGCATCTTAGTGTTTATACTCGCTGCTGCTTCTAATTGGTCGTGATTTATAAAATTTTAAGAATTTTAAATCTGATGATCTAAGGAAATTTGGTAAAAATCTACGAATTTTTTTGTCAAAATTTGAAATGTAGGAATTTCTGGGGGAAAATTGGAAATTTCTAATTAATGCCCCTGGAGACACTGCTTTTAGTTTAAAAAGCAGGTTCTTCGAAGAACAATGGCAAATGAAGAAACACAGTGGGATAGATCTACCTTGCTGATAGTTCGCTCCAGTATTGCTGCAGGAGCTCTCCTTAGCTGCATCCTAGTGTTTATACTTGATGCTGCTTTTACCTGTAGAGATAAAGATGCTCGTAAACTCCCAACCCTGCGGCTCATCCTCTACATAACTCTAGCCTCTATTGCTCGTTCCATTATTATAATAATCCAGGTCTCACCAGTCCTTGACTCTTCTCTCCATCATAATGACATGTACTGTGTCACAACTGGATACTTATACAGGACCGTCTCTATGATGGGTATACTCTTCACACTGACTGCTACAGTACACATGCTTCTCGTTACATTTGCTGTGAAATATTCGTGGAAGTTTGAAGTTGGTTATGTGCTAGTATCAATTATATTACCATTAACGTATACATGGATACCATTTACATATGACAAAGCATTGCTCCAGGGTTGGTGTTCTGTCAGTACCAATGACACATGTCACCAGCTTCAATGGGGTATAATATATAATGCTGATATCCCACGCCTCATTGTTGAAGCGATAAACACTTTCCTTGTCATAGTGACATTGTCTTGTGGTATGCCTAGAAGATGTATTCAAATGAAAAAAGATGGAGAAGAAATTGGTGTTTTGATGAAGCAGGTTCTTCCAATTCTGGTGCATTCTGTGTTTTACTTGGGGATCAATTGGTTCAGCTTAACTGACCATTTGCGCAATGGTACATGTAGCTCACATGGAAAAGGCATTCAATTAGCACATGCTATAACATCAGCAGGTCGTGGATTACTAGTAGGGATTACATTTAGTGCCTATTATTTTATAATACTGTATATTCGTTGGAAACACCAAAATGCCACTGTAGATGTCTATGGAACCATTTCTGCATCATCTTCTCTAACGGATTCACAAAAAATCAATTAATAATTGACGATTAATGATGATAATTAAATGTATCTCTTGACTTAATCTTAACCATTTTGTGAAATTATCTTTTAGAATAGTTATGAAAACATAGTTTTAAAATTACTTTCTTTTTAATATCCAAATTTTTCATTAAGTTTAGTTCTCCCATCTCCAGTTTGATCTACAGCAAATAGAGAACACTCTTGAAACATAGATACATAACATTTACATGTGCACATGTGGTAGTCAAACAAACCTTCAGGTGGTAGCCATGATGCATAGTTATCATCTTCTTGCCATTGATTGCCCTCTTCCTTCTTGTCAGTTGGTTCCTTTCTAATTGGTAAAGAAGGACCAATTACTTTCTTTTTAGGAGGAGGAGGGAGGAGAGAAGGTGAAAGAGAGGGTGTAGTGTTGGAAGGAGGGTTGTCATTATCAGTAGATCTGGAGTTGTCATGACTATCAATAGTATCACAAGACAAGAGTGTTTGTTTTAACGGTTGGGATTGGATTACATCATTGGGCTCAAGTTGCTCTTGTGTATTCAGAGCTGGATTAAAAGGATTATCCTGACATTCAGTTTGTTTAGTGAATATTTTTGAAGAGGGAGGAGTGGAAATAGTACCAATCTTTATTGAATCAGGCAATCTGTATGGCTCTGCCACTTTAACAAGCTTCCTCAGTCGTACTTCTTCCTAGAATATCAGTAACAGTAGAAGAAAGAGAGGGAGGGATTAAATAAGGTACATGTAGAGTGAACAGAA